ATTTGATCACCGTGTCATGATCGTTGTTACGGCAAGGGATAGTCTCGATCCATTTTTGAGGCATAATCTACAATCATTAAAATGTACAGTGATGAACACTCAATATTACATTATTTCATAGTCTTTCACATCTAATTTAGACTTGCTAACTAATTAACTAACTAACTTGTTTCACTCGGTGCATTTTGTAACTTAAGTCTTGATTTTAATGTTGCAAGTATTATAGGTATAAATATGGAGTTTTAGCATGGATATGATGATGAGGAACATTAGATTTGGTAACCCGACACCCTAATTTGAGTATTATTTGAATTTAAGTCACATAAGGGGTTTTTTTTTTTTTTCCATCTAAACCCAATCCAAATACTAAAAATTTTTGTCCAAGTTAAACATGTCAATGAGTTAGATTTGTACTTATCCGAATTCGATTCAAATCCAATTTAATTGGTGTTAGATTATGAATTCTCATTTCATATCCGAATGCATTAAATATGTGTTTTCTTATACAAATATACCATCCGATCCAAATAATTTGATTAGAATTGATTTTAGTGAATTATACTTAAATTTTAACTTAATTTTAATTATTGAATTACATTACATAAATCCTTTTATATATATATAATAAAGTACAATATAATTCAAATATCAAAAGATAAACAAAATCACTTTTGCTATTTGTTGTTGAGATCTCTTTAAATTTTACTTTAAAGTTAATCTGCTGACTAATATTAACACTCTAAATCTAATGAAAAATAGAACCATAAGAGCGTATTTGAAATAACTTTTTAAAAGTATTTTTAATATTTATAACTTCTCATAAGTATTTTAAATAAATAAAAAAAAATTTAAAAATTGCTCCACCATAATCACCACTACCACCACTGTCACCCCCGCCACCACCATTGTAGCCACCCTACCACACCCCATCGTCCCACTACCACTGTCACTGCCACTGCCACCCCACCATCACCTCTTTCACAACAACCACCCCCCTCCTAAATTAGTGCCCCACCACTATCACCCCATTAGCCCTATCTTACCACCACTGTCATTATCCCACTATCACTCATACCACATCACACCCACTGCCACCCAACCACCATCACCATTGTCATCTATAACTGCAACCATTACAACTAATTGTCATTATCTATCACAACTGTCACCGTTTTCCACCACCATCACTACCGTCTATCATCATTACTATCGCTCGAGCACCCACTATAATCAATACTTAAATTTTTTTATTTTTTTTTATTTTTGTAATTTAATTTTAGGTGTGAATACAAATATGTTTATTGTTAATCATTTTTTTTATTATTTCGTACATTCAGACACGAAAAATAATTAGTAATTATATAAAATTCAAACTAGACTAAGATCAGATCAAATATCGATAAATCTAAATTAAAAAATCACAAAGTATGATTTCACAATTTTGGATCATCCGTGAAAACAATCAAAGAATGTCCGATCGAAGAAAAGATAGAATAAGGAAATTTGAAAATGAAGAAAGAATTAAAGAAGGATGAGTAGAAGCAAAGAAAGAAAAGTCAAAAGTGGGAATCAACTAATCAGCTTTGCACCAGAAAGAAAAGTACCAATCAGCTTCCCTTCTTTTTTTGTAATTGCACGCTTATCAACACAACGAACTTCACTTTGATTTGTCAATTTTTTTTTTTTGGGTACGTCGAATTCAGATTCTCTATTAGTCTTTTACTTAATTTTAGTACATGGTAAATCTATAATTATATATGAGCGAGGGGTTCACACATAAGTCATAGGTCTTACTTAAATTTATGATAAATAATTTACCACCGAGTAAAAAAAGATCGAGAAAATCTCAATTTATAATCTTTGACATTAAACGATATTATTTACACCTAATTTTAGCTGGACCTCAAAGGTTTTCATGTTTTTTTTTATGGAACAAGTGATACATTGTTGGCATAATATCCAATAAGTAAATGATAAAAGAATTGGTTAGGTGCAATACATCGATTTGCTTAGCTCGTATTTTTTTGAATACTAGGAAGATCATGGTTAAACCTTCACTAATATGATCAATTTTTTTTTTTTTTTGTATTATAATTAGGAGTGTCTTAATCAACTTACAGACACCTCGACTAGTCATCTCTCTGATTCGGTCAAAAATTGACGATCTACACGGAGACTACAGAAATTATGAAAGATAAATCTCTTATAGCCTAACCTTAAAAAAGTTGTTAAGTTTTCAAGTTCCGACTTGCCTTTGATGGGTAAAAATTAATCGAAATATACATAAACTTATCTAGACAGCCTTGACAACAATACATATACAAACATTAATGCATATCTTTATTTGGAGCAGATGATGGGATTTGTATGGGGCGACAGAAAAGTCAAAAAATCCATATTGTTAATTGTACGATATTTATTCAATAATGTCTAATCTTGTGTATATACTCTCGACATTTAGCTCCTCTTGGAGTTTAATGCTTCTTTATGTAGGAAGTATGAGTTATAAATAAACCATCTTAGTTTTATTGAATGGATATGGGTGGGGCTACTCTCACCCTACAAATTTCTATTTCCATTTATTTAATTTTTTATTATCAAATTACTAAGTTCATTCATTCTTTATTTGCCACATATTACATACACCCCATTAATAGTCAAGTTCATTTATTCTATGTACACCTCTTGAATGAAAGAAATTATTGTAAGAAAAAAAATAATAAAAGAAGACAATTAATTTGAATGCATAAATATATTTACGAAACAAGAAGAAAAAAAGAATCAAGCAATATTGAAACAAGAAAAAAGAATAAGAATGAAACCGTAGTTATGACAAAATATAAAGTGAATTTACTTATTAAAAGGGGTGCATATAGCAAAGGATGACCTATTACTAATGAGGTGGGTATATAAAAAGTAGATTTAATAATTTAATAATAAAAAATTAAATGGGATAAGAATAGAATTTGTGAGGCGGGAATAGCCCCACCCAACAGATATTGGCTTCACGTTGAGCTGTCAATGGTAGTCCATGGGAAAGCTTTCTTAATATTGAATCTTGATACACTTGACACCTTGATAATAACAAGCAATTTCCATTTCACCTACCCTCTTAAAAATTTATATTATATAATTTTATTATTTGTACAATTAACAATTACAAACAAATCAAAAACGAGAGCTACATCTCGCAACAATTTTTGGTATGGTGTGTGCAAGTCATGTTTAACAGGTTAATATTGTAAGAATATCCAACTCAAAACCCTCCTCCACGTGGGATGAACAAACAAATAATCATGCATACTGAGATTCAAATATGTAAGAGACTTGATCTACAGGTATTAACTGCCCAAGACTCAACTCTAATACCATATGACAATGGGTAAAGTTACTTGTCAAATATATAAACTAACTTTAGTAGTCTTAATTATTCGATGTAGAATATAAACTCTCTTAAATATTTGCTCGTTTATTTAATAGGTCTACCAAATTTATCTATTTATCGGTCTTACTCATTGAAAGTAAATTTAAATTCATTAATTTCATATTTATTTTTTATAGTCTTGGAAAAATGTACCTTAATTTGTTGGACCTAACCTAACCTAAGATTTTTGGGTTGTGATTTTTCATATGGGACAGAGCTTAAATGCTGTATTCACCCAACCACAAGTCTGACTTTTACAGACCAAGAAACTGTGTCAACAAAACTCCAGCTCATCCTCAAACAACTAAACAGAAGAAAACACAAAGAAAGAGAGAGAAAGAGATAAGTCATTGAGTAGTCACAATTTTTTACTTTATAAAGCCAAAAAAAACAAAAGCAAAAGTTAATTTACATATGCCAGTGATTCAGTTTGTTGTCTGTTTAATGGGTATATGAACAATTAGTCACCCACATAGCAAACAAGTTCACATTAAAGAACCCACCTAACTTACCAAATAAATATATATATATATATATATCACCATCTTAATGATTATAAAAACTAATCAAATAAATAAGGATTTATTCTCTTCCACCATCTTAAAATCCCCCCATACTCCCCCACTCTTCTGTTTTCATTTCGATATTACAAATTTTTATTTTAGTCAGATATATTTTTTATCTATTGAGACTACCACACAAGCAAATTTTTTTGTTTTATTTTAAGTTTGTAATTTTACGATCAATGATTGCTAGTGAATCAACCAAATCATACGGCTACAAATTATTTTTGGACATGGGATACAAATTTTTTTTTTATCCATCTCACTTATAACCACCGAATTTCTAGATATTCTAATCTACAAGTTCCCACCCGTGTGTGATAAATGGCTAGAAAAAAGGCATTATACTGAAAATCATCACCTTTGTAAGATAAATTGTAGTTTTTGGATCAAAGTATAAGTAAACAGTTACAATCCATCTCAAAAGATTTAATATAACTATTAAAGTCAAATTTTTTTTTTTAAAGATAATATGGGGAGGGGGCGACCAATAGATAGTAACTCTTTTGGGCGTGACCATAAGAACTTCTCTGGATGTGAAATGTTCGGTTACCAATAGATACAGACTCTTTTAGAATAGTCTATCACCACATTACCACGAGAGCCTAAGTAACAAGACATGAGAATCTCGTAAATCAAATCTTACTTTTTAACTACGTGAGAATCAAATTACTATCCAAAGACGGACATGCCTTATCAACTAGACCACCAGCCGACCACCGGCCCGGTGGTCTAAGTTAGTTCTTTTTGGAATGGTTCCAAATTCCTGGAAAAAATTGTGATTTTAACTCCTAAAAATTATTATATTTTGCGGTGCAAAAGAAGAGTTGCAGTAGCACAGGGTTATACTTGTCCCCCTCCCTCTCAGAATTCCATTTATAGCCTCTAATCCGTATTAATACGCTTACCGACATTCTCTCTCTCGCCTTAATATCCCTTGCAACACTCTGCACCCACGATCTCCTACTGATCTCTCTCTCTCTCTCTCTCTCTGGGCTCCATACTGTTCAACGATGCCTGTAGTTATTGCTGAGAATTCAACAATAGCAGAACACATTAGATACAGAAAAGCAAGAAACCCAAACCAACCCAACTCAGACACAGATCCAAACCCACCTCAATTCCCATCTATCATTCAGTCCACTCGGTGTAAATCCACCATTTCCGGTCTGCTCCTCTCGACATTCAACCCAAATTCCACCAATGAAAACCGCACCGTCTCCACTACCAAGAAGAAGAACTTTACATCTGCGACATTCAGAGGTTTAGGATGCACAGCTTCTCCTCAGGTATCGGTGCCGGCGGCTATTCGGGCATCGGCGAGTTGGGAAGCCAAGAAAGTGAAGAAGAAGAAGCAGAGGAGTAAGAAAAACAAGGCACCTAATTCAGCTTTGGCAATGGGGGCTACTAATAACAACTCATCATCATTATCATCCGCTTGTGTGGCTGTTCCTGATGTTTGGTGTGGTCCTGGGATTGGTTTTACTACTGATGCTGCCTCAGTTGATTGTGTTGTGTCAAGAAGGCCTGTGTCAGGAAGAGGGAAAGCTGATGGCGAGAAGATAAATCAAAGGGAGGTATTGTTTCTATCAGTTTTGCTCTTATTTCCTTGCATACAAAATAGGGTTTTGGTTCTGCTTTAGACTTTTATGTTTATATGCTTATGTTATTTGAGAGTTGATCTTGATTTCACAATAATATGTGATCTTGATCATCTGAAATGGTAAATAATTCTTGGGTACCTTTTGTTTATGGTTTTTGGGTAGGCACTTGTATCTTCGTTGAAGGGTTTTCGAGGACCTCATGGCTTTTATATGATTTGCTTCACCAAAAAAATTGTCATGGATTGGTTGGCTATGGTTGGGAAGTTAGATTGATTATCTGATCATGATTAATTGATTGTCATCAATCGTTGCTTGGCAAGTTGCTCTTTTTATCTGGTTTATGTAGTGTTTCATTACATATTTAAGGCAGGTTGCACTTGTAATCTGTTAATGAACTGACATATTAGGCAGGTTGACTTACATTCTCTGCAGAAAAAAAACTTTTTCTTTTGCTTTAATTTCTTCTAATGGCAATTTATCCAGGTTTTTAGAACACCTGTTTGGCATCCTTGTGTTCCTCGGAGACCAGGAGCGGATTTACTGCAATCCTGAAATGTTTTTGGGTGTATGTGAAATTTTGAAAATTTTAACAATTTTTTTTTTTAATTGCCCCCACTAAAATATTTGTAAAAATTTATGAGTATACCTTTTTACTTGAATAATGCTTTTGAGTTCTCATGAAGAAGTTCACAAATTGTAATTAAAATAACGGTAAGTCTATGGTATCAAAAAGAGATTTTTTGGTATTGTATCAAAAATTAAAACTTTAAATGTTACAACTTTTAAGAAACATAATATAACTTTTTGAGGTTAGTAATTAATCACAAATATGGGGACTGAATACAAATATTGTGATGAATCATAAGATGTAATGATCGATCAAGAATAACTTTTAAAATATATAATTTTACCTTTGAAAGTTGTATTTTTCATGATCGATCATAACGTTTTGGAGTTGTAACTTGACACTAAATTGTTGTATTTTTTGTCATGTTATCTCCTTTGATACCCTAGACTTACTCGTAGAATAGTAATACTGGACCATTTTATCTGACACATCATTATGTCACTAAATAACATTACTTTTTATATTTTAAAAAATAGAGGAGGTTCTTTCATAAATTGCTTTCATACGTTTGAATGTTAAACAAGCATCACCAAATAGAATTTGATCAACAAATCAGAAATTCATGGAGGAGAGAACTGCACGAAAGGCATGAATTTTCTGAATTTGCTATGATTGTCATGGATTTCATATGGAATTGCATTTCCATATTTAAATTCTAAAATTAATAGCAATGTATTAAATTGTTTTTGATTGACCTATTGAGATTCAAGTTTCATGTTTTGTGATGGATTAAAATTTTCTTTTGTTGATTATTTTTAAAATTTAGTTGTTATAAATCATATTTGAAATAACCTTTTTTGATTGACTGGTTTTCCAGTATCAACAAATCAACATATTTGTGATAAACTAAATAGCTTTAGCATCATGATTTTAATATAACAACTAGTTATAGTTTACTCTGACTGCAAATAAAACATGACTCTGCCCTTGCCGGAGACTAACTGTTCACACTTGGTCCTAATTTGCATTGTGCATTCCTTTCCTTTGTTCTTGTGCATTGAGTCCTCCTTTGGTATGTTTTTGGCAGCTCAGTTTATATTGAAGGTTTCGTGGATGATCACCTTTGTTTCTTTTTCGTTAGGTGTCTTCATCTTTTGCAATACGGATCTTGCATTGCCTCTTTATTTGAAGTGATCTATGGAACTTTTTACTTTTCATTCATCCTTTAATTGAGTAGTATGGTTACTCATATAGAATTTAATGCATATTCAATAACTCTTTACTTGTGTTGGCAGCGTCCTTCATATGCAACAAGGAGAATGGTGACCCCTGAAGACTTCTCTTTTCTTGATCCCGACCCTGCCTTCGGAATGCCACACTCTCGATTGGATTTATTTGGATCAAGGCATCATCGCCATGTTCGACATCGTTCTCCAGAAGGGCTGGCAGAGGTTTGTTTTCCATGCTTCCTTAAATACCTAAATTTTAAGTTACATATTTCATGGTGATCTGTATTCCCCATTCTGCATTTGTACACTTGTAATTTTTATCAGTGTCATTGTCTTGACCTTTAATATTTCCTACCAGTTACTTTTTCTATGTTACATTTTTTTGTTCTTACTTTGTGAAAAGAATGGAATTTGAAAACTTTAATAGCTAGGCTTCTAGATGTTGAAGGCTACATTATAGGGTAATAGAGCTACTTTGAATGGTATTTGCTAACTATCACATTGTTCCCTGTTGTGAAAGATGACTAAGGTCTTGTGCTTGAGGTAGGAAGCTGTTCAAGGGATTTATTTGTAGAAAACAGTATGAGCTTTAGTGATTTGAATAATGTTTATACTTACAAAATACCTCACTTTAGTTAATGTTAAGTTTATAGAGAAGCTTAATACAATGTGAGAGAGCCAAAGAGAGGTTTTGGTTTACTGTACCTCTCACTATTAATCTTGTATTTATAGTTACTGAACAAAGAAGCAAAATACAAGTATATCCTTTGTGTGGTATACATATTACAACAAACGTAAACTCTAATTATATTATAGTAACTTTCTCAACACTCCTTATCAAGCTGGACAATAGATATCATATAATCCAAGTTTAAAACAAATATTCGCTAGACGAGTACGACTTAATGCTTTGGTGAACATGTCTGCAAGTTGAGTTGAGCCTCAGATCTCACAAATGGAGTTGTAATGTCTCCACTTAGTATCTTGTCTCAAATAAAATGGCAGTCAAGTTCAATATGTTTAGTCCTCTCATGAAACACTGGATTGACAGTAATGTGAATGGTTGTCTGATTATCACAAAACAGTTGTAACGGTAGCTGAACTGAAAAACTAATTTCCCGAATAAAGTGTAATAACTATGTCAACTCACTAATTGTATGTGTCATTGCTTTATACTCAGTCTCAGCACTGGATTGTGCTACCACTGTTTGTTTTTTACTTTTCCATGAAACAACATTATCTCCTAAGAAGTTGCAATAATCAGTAGTTGATCGCCGATCAGATGGAGAACCAGTCCAATCAGTATCCGAAAAACCTTCCCCTCGAAGATGTACATTATCTCGATATAACAATTCAAGACCAGAAGCACTTTTGAGATATTGAAGAATATGAATGACTACATCCAATGTGGTACTCTAGGACATCCTATAAACTGACTTACCGTACTGACTGCATATGCAATATCTGGTCGGGTAATAGTGAGATAATTAAGCTTTCCAACTAATCTGCGATATCAACCTGGATTATCAAATAGAGCACTACCATTCATCAACAACTTTTGCCTTAGATTCAAAGGAACATCAATTGGTCTACCACCCAGTAAACCTGTCTCTTTTAACATGTCAAGTACATATTTCCTTTGATATAGATAGATACCCTGTTTAGATCTGACAACTTTAATATCCAAGAAGTATTTAAGTTTTTTCAGATCCTTCGTATAAAATTTGTCATGCAGAAATACTCTGAACTGAGTAATACCCTCAAAGTCATTATCTGTGATTACAATATTATCAACATAAACCACCAATAGAGTGTACCCTACATCTGTTTGTCTGTGAAAAACATAATGTTCTGTCTGACATCGAAGAAAATCAAACTCTAATATTGCATCTGAAAATTTACCAAACTATGTTGTTGGTGATTGCTTCAAATTATATAAAAATTTCTTCAGTCGACACACTCCTAAAATATTCTCCCTGAGCAGTAAACTCAGGTGATTGCTTCATATAGACCTCCTCAGCAAAGTTATCATGCAAAAATGCGTTCTTGACATCTAACTGAATTAGGGGCTAATCAAAGTTAGCAGCCAAAGAAATTAAAACACATACAAAGGAGATTTTGGCAACAGGAGAAAATGTCTCCGTATAATCAACACCATAGGTCTGAGTGAAACCCTTAGCAACAAGACGAGTTTTCAGACGCTCAACAGAATCATCTGGATTAAACTTAACAGTGTACACTCATTGATAACCAACCGTCTGTTTTTTAGGCGGTAAGGGAACAAGATCCCAAGTCTCATTCTGATGTAAGACATCCATTTCAATTTTCATAGCTTTTCTCTAGCCTGGATCAGTTAGACAAGGCGTTCGGTAGAGTCTTAGGAATAGAAATAGTAGATCGATGCGAGGTGAAGCAGGAACAGATAGGAGATAAGACATCATAAGAAACAAAATTATCAATGGGATGATTAGCAACACATGATCGAGTACCTTTCTTAATAGTAATTGGTAAGGAGTCAGAATATCTGAGGAACTCAGATTAGGAGACGGCAAGGAAGCTGGTAAGGGCACTTCAGCTGATGACTGCGCATGACAAAAGTATACACGGAACGGAGCTGGGGATGGAAATACAATAGACAGAGGAGTAGGTGACGGTAAGGGAGGAGGTTATGGTGTAGACTGTCCAAAGTCAAGATTCAAAGGCTGCTTAGGACCCAAAAAAATACGGAACTTCTTTATTAAAGGTGACATCGATACCCCTTTAGTGTGCGAGAGTATCCAAGGAAGACACACTTGGTAGCACGAGGGTGAAGTTTATTAAACCCAGGCCCTAAGTTATGAACATAACTAACACACTCAAAATTTTAGGAGTTTAGGCAAATAAGGGGATATGAGGTAAAAGGATGGAATATGGACTTTATTCATTTAACACAGAAGACGACATGCGGTTAATAAGGTGACAGACTAACAACATCACTCCAAAAAATATGAGGTACATTCATTTGAAATAATAATGCATGGGTAACTTTCAACAGATGTCGATTCTTTCGTTCAGCAGCATCATTTTGTAGAGAGGTATAGTCACAAGAGGTTTGATGAATAATGCCAATTTTAAGAAGATAAGAGAATAAAGGATCAGATTCATATTCTCTAGTATTATTAGGATGGAGAATACGAATGCAACAATCATATTGTCTTTGTACTTCTTGACGAAAGGTCTCAAATATAGAACATAATTCAAAACGGGCTTTCATAAGAAATAATGAAGTCACACGAGAATAATCATCTACAAATGACACAAAATAAGAAAATTTATCGGATGAAATATTTTTTATTGGGCCCTATACATCAGATTGAACCAAAGCAAATGGACTCGATACCTGGTTATTGACTCTAGATTGAAAGGAAATACGGTGATGCTTACTAAGTTGACAAGCTTCACAAGACAAAGACGACAAATGATTGAGACTAGGAACTTGGTGCTTTAGATTCTGGAGCAAAGGATGACCAAGCCGACAAAGCCACTGAAAGGGAGATGATGAGTTCTGAAAGGTTCGAGGAGATATATCAAGGTCAAGATAATAGATACCACTAACTTCATATCCTATACCAATCTTTCTCTTAATCTTGTATTTATAGTTACTAAACAAAGAAACAAAAGGCGAGTATACCCTTTGTGTGGTATACATAGTACAATCAAGGTTCGAAGTATCGGCGAAGTCGGATACGACTCAGCCGAGTCGTATCCGCCTCATCCATCAATCTGATACCCCGCTACAAGGTACGCAAATAACACGAGACTCAAGCGAATCGGCATTGACTCGGTCATGACTCGGAGATATCGGTTGAAATCAGAGTCGGATTGTTTGAGTTAGACCGAGTCATCAATAGATCAATGTAAAAAAATTAGCCAAAAAGAGATGCAGAAACCAAAATAGAAGAAATCAACAAATCCTAAAACAACAATTGAAAAGATTTGCATAAAAACCTCTAGATCCTGTACATACAGCAAACCAGATCCAGTCCAGCCCACCCAAAGTCTCCCTCTCTCAGTCTCTCACTCTCTCATTTTGCCTCTCTTTCTAGTTTCGTTCATTGTCGCCTGAGTAAGAGCGATTGAGTGAGAGGTGAGATCTGAGTCTCACTTTATTTTATACTTGGGTATGTTTTTTTCGTTTTTTTTTTTTTTTGCTTTAGTTGACAAAAAAGTTATATTATATTAGTTTCACCCATAACCCCTTTTTTTTCTTTCTCTTCGTCAAACGATAAAAAGACTCAAAAAATTGAGATATTTTATTTTTTTGGTTTATTTTTTGTTCCCAATGGTCCCAAATGCTTGTCCAAATTAAGAGCAAAATATTGCACACTGCCCAAATGGTTTTGCGTGTGTTTCCATTGCACATTGCACATTGCACATAAATGATGACATGTTTTTTGGTAGCGCCTTATTATTCTTTTCTGTAATGATTAATGTGTTAAATAATGTATTTTGGGGATATGATGCATGGATGATGATATTTACATTTCTTACAATTTTTCTTAATTTTTTCAAAAAATTAAGCCTTCTATATAGCTTTTTGAGCATATTGGTTGATACTGCGCCGTGACCGATGTGTCTCAGTGGCGGTTGAGTCGAGGTCTGATACCGCGACTTTGATCCATGATTACAAAAAACGTAAAACATAATTATATTATAGTAGCTTTCTCAATTTTGTTACTTTCTTTATCTCTTAGGTGGTGTTTGGATTAAAGAATTTTTTTTTTTTGGGGGGGGGGATTGCAGCTGGGATTGGATTAAAATAGTGAATGGGTCCACTTATCCTTGGTTTGGATAAGTTTTTGAGGATGGGATTTTCGTTGCTTTACATTTCCTCGGCCGCATGTTTTGAAGGGTATAATCCCCTCTGCAGGCCATTATTGGACAAACCCTCCTGCTGTGTGGGATTCAGAATTGTGAAGTAGGATTACATTTGAAAAATAAAAAATACCCTCCACAGTCGAATGACTTACCTTCGTGTATCAATCTCTCTACCTCTGGAATACACGTTTTTTTTGCTATTGTCTCTCGACCGTAACCCATCTCCATTTTTTGCTACTGTGGTGTTTGGAACTCTCTAAACACCCAGATCTGTTGAGCAAATCTGCGTGTGGTATGTCCCAACCAGTAGCAGATCTGTAACTTTCATTTGTTTGGTAAGATAGAGATGCATGCTTCTCTCTCTATGTCTCACTCTTTCTCTCTGTCAAGCCGAAGCATTTGGAACCACCAAAGAGTCCACTATAACCCATTTGTTTGGGAAGATGAGCAATTTAAAGGGAGTAAAATCCAGTTTATACCCTAGTGGTTCAGTTTTTATGCAATTTACCCCCTAAGTTCAAAAATTAACACATAACTCTCTTATACTTTTGAACTAAATTGCTACATTTCTACATTCTCTCTCAATTGACAGAATGTAGCATGCAAGCACATGATTTGAGAGTAAGTGCCTGAAAATATTCGGTCTAAGTTAACTTTGAATGAAAGGGTTTGAGTCTCATTAAAAAATCA